TTGGTACATACTCAAGGCCACTTAACATTAAGACTGCAATCTTCAGTTAGTTGATCAGGCAGATTACTTGGTTTAGTCTAATGTACATCCTGCTTATCTTTGATCTTTGTTGGATCACACCTACAGAAGCTGATAAAGACACAAACAGAATACAAGGGTCATACTAGATCAGAATAAAACCCTAGCTTTTCTTTTACAGAACAAAGTGGCTAATCAGTTGTCTGAAGTCAACAAGCAGAATAACCCTACAATATGTATTCCTTAGTAACTGGTATCCATAAGCAAACTTCATCCCATACTGCCTGTGAGGGGGTTGCTCTGGGTATCCCTGGTGGACCATCTGCCCTCGCCCTGCACCTCCTGGGGAGCCCAAGGGTACAGACAGGGAGATGGAGACCACAGGTGGGAGACAGAAGCTAAGGGAAGAACAGCAACATCTTGTTAAGTAGGCAGCGGTTGGGCCCAGGTAGCAGGAACTGACATAAAGAAGGGGGAGGAGGAAAAATGAGAGATCATTCTCATTGGATCTGAGGGAAGACTAGGGAGAAGCTGAGGAGGCATCTTCAGCCCATCAGCATCTTCATCTCATGAACTGACATTATAGAGACTGGTGGAGTACTGTTACAGACCAAACCCATTACCCAAAATTTTAGCTCTGGCAAGAGGTCAGACTAGATGCAACCAGCTGAACCAAAGTCCAGTTTTATTTAATATGCAATACAGAGTCAGCTGGGACTTCTCTTAAGGGCAGAGAAGACACTGAAGATACAGTATAAAGGAACTTTATACCACAACAAACAAAGAGTCATAAAGGTCGACAAACTCATTGGCTAAAATCTACTTTGGATCCTATACCTAATTGGGTACAAACGTGAGGAAAACAAACTAATTGGTCCCCTATAGATGCATGGGCACATGCCTTCCTTTAGGATGTGCCACACTGTCTGGAAGAAAATGTATTCCAACTTCCTTATCTTATTGATATGTTTATGTTACCAAGCAGGGCTCAGATGTTACCAATCTCTGGCTCCCTGCTGGAACTCATTTAGTTTTTACAGTACCTAGCCCCCATTATGACCAGTATAGGTGCTGAAGGTGGAAGTGCTAAATGGAATGCCGGAGGAAGCAAGAGGAGGGACTAGGGAGGCCAGGACAGTGGTGAGCAGCTGGCACTAAAAACCTTCCTTAAATGGCATAGATTGGCTTGGGGCTGTGCTGAAGACCCAATGTCACCAACAGAATATGGACAGCTTGAGCTCAGTGATGGAAATTTGGGTTTGGATAGAGACTGGACTTGGCCAGAGGGCTAGTGATGCCTCCCAGCAAACTGGTGGGACAGGGTGTGATTGGGCCCAATCCTTTCTGGTATCCCATTCCTGAACAGTAATAAAAACTAGTTCCAGTGCTCTAGGATTCTGGGATTGTGGAAGCTAGGACTGAGGAGGGTATCTTCACTCACACTGCCAAAATGGCATAGGCTCACAATAAGATAAATGTCACATTTACGGCAGTAAATGTACTGTTATAATTCATTACAAGGAGCATCAAACAACTGAATTCAGACTTCTCTAACTGACTAAAAAGAACCTACCTCTGATTAACTAGGCAACATATTTTTAAAGGATCACTCATATTGGTAGAGCTCAGTGGTTGGGAGCACCTAGGGGCTGTGAGTTCAAATCCCCATTGTGCCTATCACAAGGTGTCAGCCAAGATAATCCTTAGGGTTATGTGCCTTGCCATATGTTTGGCCTAAGACAAGGTACCTGGTCTCAGAGCACCTCCAGATGGAGGGACAGTTAAACCACTTCTAAGTTCTTCAGAATTTAACGTAACTGAGAACTGCCAAATTTGCCACCCACATTTTAACCCCCTAAAATCTCAATTTGTTTTGAAGGACTGATTCCCAACTAAGACAGCTACTCCAGTGTTTGGAATAAATTAATTAGTTTTAATTAATGGAGTTATTATTTTTAATTGCCCTAATTTAGGCCAAGCATAATTAGACTCTAAGCAAGTCCCAATTAGTGCAAAATTAAAGGTCAAAAATTAAAATGTAAAGGTGTTTTAATTAATCGGACACCAAAACATCTGAGCATAAAGAGAAGAGGGAGAACTGATCATGGCAACAATGGCAGTGGGAAACTAAGTGCAAGGTTATGTGTATGTACGAGAGAGACAAACACAAACAAAAAAAAAACCAAGAAAAAAAGGGGGGGAAGGACACTGGACTGTTGGCTTAGCCCCTGCATCTGAATCGCCTCCACAGTGAAAGCTAAGGGGATAAACAATGACAGAGGACTGGTGCAGAGCAATGGGTTTATCTAATTGTTCAAGCTCGAAATGCTTGAGATTACATTTGCGATCTACAACTGATCTTTATAGACCACCCTTCCTGATTCTAAATACGTTGAGAGGCAGATGATCCAGTTATTGAACACTATAGAAAAATTTTATATGTCACTCAGAGGCAGTCAAAATATCTGATTAAGAATGCTCCACCCTTGATTTACTGATGAATCTTTTTAAATACTTACTGGCTGAAATCTTTAGACCCACTGAATCTGGGGTGGAGGTGGGGGTTGGGGAGCCAACATCTCTGTAAGTACCATTGGTTCATATGGGCCTCCTTTAGCAGGACTTGCTACGCTAAGCAGCAGGATTTCAGCTACTGCTGCACTTGACTATCTTAATATCTTCTAACAGGAATAAAGATAGAATTCATTATTAACTATTTCAGTTGAAACAAACAATCCATAGTGTTTGACAGGCAAATAACTGTTGCAGGGGACTGGCCTGAAAAATGTTATCACTACAGTATTATATTTGATCTTTATTACACTACTGAGTACAGCAGTATATTGACTCGTAACCTTAGAATTTGTTTGTTTGGCTCTAAGCATGGTGCTTCATGCCTGCCTGCCTCTGCTAAGCACTGCAGCGCTTTGACATCGAGGCCCAACGTGGCCACCCCGGCGAGCAGCCGCTGGAGCCGGTGCCAGAGTGGGAGGCGCCCCCTGGTAGGTGAGCCACCTGCTGCTCTTCAACGGCCACCCGAAAGCTGCCCGCTGGCGGAGAAAGGGAGCTGCCCCCGTGGGGCCAAGGACCAGGTGGCAGAGGCAGCAGACCAGGAGGCAAGGTGGCGGTGCTCGACTGGCCGCACGTGATCAAGACACGTGTGACTGAGATCCTTCCTTTCAAATCAAGGGGGTAATGTTGGCGTATATAAATTTCTTAGGGGGTAAAAGGTAAAAAAGTTACCTGACCCCTGTTCTAAGGGCTCTTAGGAAGTCCCCTCTATTAAGGCATCAGTGAGAGAACAAAAGGAGTATTAATGAGCAAGACTGAACATTTGGCTGAGTGTATATGCTTTTTAAGAAATGCATTTTGTTTTCGGGTGAAGGAGTGCGAAACACACAAATTCCTGAAGCCAGCTGTCCACAATGTATTAAAATTACTGTTGTCTTTAGGCTCTATGATGCCTCAAAGTTTTGTGTAAAAACAACAAAACAATGAGTGTTTTTTTTAAATTGTGAATCAATGATGGGCTGGATCTGAATTTCTGAAATAATACTGATTTGGGGCTTGGACCAAATTGGATGGGGTTCAGATCTCCATAATGAGCTGAGTTCCAGTTGAAAACACTAAATCACCCATTGGGATAGCTATGCATAACTACATTGTCTATCATAGATACATATGTCATTTTCTTTAAAACTATTTAATATTCATTTTACTTTTTTACTTACTTTACTTAACCTTTTTAATATAATGTTAATTACGAGTAAAACCAACTATATCATAGCCACCCTTCCTAAAACTTGTGTATATGAAGAAGTGGTCTCTGGTTCACAGTAATCTATGCCAAAATAAATGTCAATCTTCAAAGTGTTACAATAAGTCATCTTGGCTTCCATAAAATTTTATTTCTGAGCTCTAATTAAATGTGGATAGGCTGAGGGTGCAAGCTGCTGTTATACCATTGTTATTTGGTTGAGAGTGGTAATTTAGGAAAAGGGTGACACTCTTTCCCTTCTCCCTGTTCCATGCCACTAATAGATGCAAAATATTAAGTTAGAATGTGGTAACCAGATTTGACTTATTAAAATGGAGCCCATGAATGCAACTGTGTTGCTATCAACTTGTTCTTCAAAGGTAGGGACTTTTCCATGAATGGAGCTTGAATGATTACTCATTTTAAAATGTGAATTATTTATTGTGGTAAGATGTTTCATGTAAACAAGGAAAGGTGGGGAACCAATTACGACCCCCCAGATGCTGTCAGGCTATAACTCTCAATTATCTATAACTTTCCTGTACTGGCTCGGGCTGATGGTAACTGGAGTCCAAGATAATTTCCATACCTTAAGATCATCTTCTTAATCAGAGGCCTGAGACAGTTGCCAAAAAATGTGTGTTCTGAAGAACCAGAACACGGAAGATTTGTTTTTTTTAGGGGGGGGACCAGAACTCCCCTATCAGTATATGTACTCAACGGCTAGGGCGGCTCAGTATGTTTTGGGAGCTGGACCCTAAACGAGAAAACGTAATTATCATAATTAACAGCCTGTCACACGTCAATTTACACAAGCCTCTTAGATGCGGTTGCTATTACAACCTAAGAGGGTGCTTCTTGACCCATTCTTGAACCATCAATCTCACGGCACTATTTCAACTCCGGAGCCTTGAGGAGACACTTTCCCTTGGCCACTCCTTGCCTCCGTGCTCCCCCACCTCAAGTGTTCAGTGGACCTGCCCGACAAAAAAAGTATTTCCCCACGGAGAAATAAAGATGGTTGTTTCCATCGTAACTGCCATTGCCTCACATTCTTAATTTCCGCCTAGGCTCCGCCTCCAAAAGGTACGTTCTGCTTGGCGGTTGGCTGGGTTAACATGTAGGGGCTGTCCTTCAAAACGGCGGTTTCAAAGCAACACCAAGGTGCCCCCACCCCCCACCCCGTTATGAGGTGACTTGACCTCTGTTTCCTCAGCAGGTTTGTGCGTGAAGCAGGGGGAGGGGAGGGTAAGCAGGCAGGTGCAGTCGGAATAACCAAGGCAGTGTGGTTTACTATTTCCTCCCCTGTTTAAAGAGCGCCCCTTTAAACAGGAATGTAAAGGAAGCAAGCTGTCCACAGTCGGTGAGTGTATAAAAAGCCAAAGCGTTCAAGGCGCGTGCGTAGAGTGTGAGGGAAGCGCCTGCAGCTTCTTGAAGCTTAGCTTTCAGGGAAGGATTCCGAAGACCTCGTGGCGCAACGGTAGCGCGTCTGACTCCAGATCAGAAGGCTGCGTGTTCGAATCACGTCGGGGTCAAGCGGGACTCCCCACAGTGGGGGTTTATTTTGCACCCTACAAAAAGCGTGAGCGGGGCAGCTAAATATTTACATTTATATTTGGCAGTATATTCGTAAAGCCCAGTTTTTAAAAAGGGCTGACGAAAAGACGTCAATGGGATCTCAGTAACTGCAGTATAGGGTGGGGTATCCAGACAGATTTAGGAAATCATGAGGGTGGCGTTCAGTGACAGAAAAAAAAAATCCAGATACAGGAGGGCTTAGTTATTTCAATAGAACGTGAATTAAAGCTGCCGCCCAGAAATCGCTAAAAAGAAACGAGGCGGAAACGAGACAATTTACCACGGATCAGGGTGCTTTAGGTGGAGGCTGATAATCACAGATATTTTTTATAGTGGAGAAGTAATCTATTAATATATATACTGTGGGGTTCTTTTAATCGTTTGAAATCCGTTGCAGTTTGGAAGATGCGCTAACTCGCGAATTTAAAAGCCCCTTTCCTTTACTAAGCGCCGTGACTTAAACCCACAGAAACTGATTTTAGGCGGGCAGGTGGATCATGGCCTTGTCTCCCCCCAACTCCCCCCGCAGCAGACAATCGAGTATGGAAATAGGAAAGCCTTCTGAGGCAACGTCTGAGGAGCTGGCTCTTTCGATGTTGAGAGGTACTGCAGTGTAATTCCCAAGGGAGGAAGAAGGCAACAAAGAGTGAGCCCGACCTTCTCTTGATTATTTTCCATTTTTATTTTTCTATTTGTATTCGGTCAACTACTTGTCTCCGCATAGGGGACTAAAGGCCGCTCTCACCGAATTAAAGCCTCATAAGAGATAACGAAAAGGAACATAAAATATGAAATTAAAAAATTTAAGTATAATATTGAAAGTACCGTTTAAAAACACTTAAAACATTTCCCCAAAGAGAAATCATTAAATATATTGGTGGTGCCCCACTGGCCCAGTCAATTAAGAGCGTGCCTACAAAGGAAAGGCTTTGTTTGCTGGTCAAAAGACAGTGGCTGCTGCCATAACCTGGGAGCAGCCCCGGAAAAGGCCTTCTCTCATGTTCTCATAAACTTGCTTTTGAGGGCAATAAGGTGGAGAGAAGGACCTCCCAAGAAGGCCTTAAATTATGGGGCAACTTGTATGAGGCCTTCAAATGACCACTTTGCCCTGTTGGTCTATCTTGATGGGCAACTGCCATTATTGGACTTAAGTTCTTTAGTGAAAAACATCTGGATGATTTCCCCCCTTAAAACTGCATTTTATTTCATCGTAATAAAATTATTTATTGACCAATTCTACTTTTAGCAGGAAAGAGGTGAGGAATGATTTGATGAGTGATGGTCACTATGTTCTATGCTTTGCCCACCCACAGATTGTCTGTATGGGTTTGGAGAAGGATGACTTTCTAATTCCCTTCCTCGTTTCATTTTTCTTTTTTGTTTTCTCCCCATCCAGTGGTATCAAAAGGCTTGATCTAGGGCCATATGGAGAAGTGTCATTGGCAACTTCAGTCTCTCTTTGTCCATTAGAGCCCTGATGGTGATAAATGTGTACAGAGTTTTCTGAGATAAGTAGGGAACTCGGGAATGGACCATTGCCCGCTAATGGAACTGCCCGCTTCCAGCAAAAGGGCATTTCTGATCTATCCTATTAAGTAATCTTCAAATTTCCTGCTCCTATTAAGTAATCTTCAAATTTCTGTGCACCCCTGCTGCAGAGCCTAGGACAGGGAATTTGAATCCTCACTGTGGCTCCTAGCAGAGATGCTCATCCAGAGTGTATGTCATGAGTTTTCATGCCCTGGCATCTATGTGGGCTTGAACTAGCTATAGAGTTCTAGAACACCACCAAAGGATGGAAACTTAAACCACTCTCTGATTTTCATCCCCACCTCCCATTAACTAGCAAGTACTACCCTTGTTGCTAACAAGAAATTATAGTTAAGTTCATGCATGTTTTCAACATCTTTGCTGGCTACTTTTTAACATTTAAACAATACTGTTGCTATATTAAATTATAGGTCATTTCTTACTATTATTTAATTACAGTAAGATGTATACACAGTAAATTTGAACTTAAGGACTACCTCAAAATGTATAATACAAATTTGCCTCCATCAATTATTTTTCTAACATAATCATTTTTCAGCATAAATCTTATTAGTTGAGGTATAAAGAATGGTTGTATAAAGTATGGTACTTCAAACAGGCTCCTTTGAGGACTTTAGTCTTCTTCCAAAGGTGATCTATGAGAAATACAGTATGTTTGCTAGTTTTTACTTCAATTTTAGACCTTATGGCTGCAACATCTAGCCAGAATGATTTTTTCACTTTTCTATAACTCCTCAACCAAGCACTGTGAACAGTCTAATGAAGAGTGCTAGAAGACTCAAAAGCTCTCTTCTTTATGATAGTTCAGTAGTTTTATAACAATATGATCCAGCGTGATTTAGGTGGTTATGTTTGAAGAATTACAGTACAGTACACAAGAACCTGTGCATTGGTACATTTGTTCATATTTAAAATGTTGTTGGAATCTGTTTTCTTTGCTGCAGCAGACAAGCCACCTGGGAAATATGTGATTCTTGGGACAGGAAGATCTTAAAACTTCACAGAATTTGATATATATGAGAATATACATATTTTGTTACTCTTTTTAAATGGATAGTTGTGTCTGTTTTAGCAAAAACAACAGAGTCCTGTATAACAAGTGCATGTGAGCTTTCCTGGCCCATTTGATGAGATGCATCTTGTTTTCAATTTTCTTGCTAAGACAGTCTGATGGGAAATTCATTCCCCCAGTTGCTATTATCCTAGTTCATGTATGATAAAATGTATAAGCTGTAATATGTAATGCTCTCTATTTAACCTTAAGCTTAGGTCAGGAGATATGATAAAAGTACAGGTAACTGTAATAAAATTGGGAGAAAATTCAAGCACTTATAAATTTCACAATTTAATATTGGAATCAAATATACTCCTGAGAGGATAATTTGTTAGTAATGTAAGTGGTACAATGTTATATTATCAATATTTTCAGCTTATACATTTTATCATACATGAACTAGGATAACATATGTAATATGTAAAGCTTGTATTTTGAATGCTGCCCTTCTTTTGAATGTCTCCGGCAAAATTAAAACTGAAAGAAAAAGTGCCCGGCCTCTTAAGGAGCCACGGTTCCCTCCCTCCCCAGGATATGTCCTCATTTGGTTGAAATTGGGAGCATGGAATCTCCATATTCTCCAGCATGGGACTCTACATCCGCCCGAAGAGCTATATCTGTATGTGTTGCTGTTTTCCTTTTGCAATGGGAGTGGGGGACTGCAGGCTTAGAGACAGTCAGAGGGGAAGGAAGCAGGGAGGGAGGGAACTGTGACTCATTGAGCAGCATTTTTCACTCATCATAGACGAGTGCATTTTTCAAGTCCTGTATATATATAAACTCAGTGGTTTTGGTGTATGGCTGCACAGCCAGGAATTGGGAGTTTAATTCCCTGCTATGCCTTCTTTACAGGGGCTGGATTCAATGATTCATAGGGTCCGTTCCAGCTCTGCATTTCTAAGATTATTATTATTTTTCCTGCCGGTTCACCCTCACTATAATCAGTTAGGTTCATGCTTAGTATAATTAGGGTAGAATGTTGAGGCCATAAAGCAGTTTTAAAGTGTGAATCAATATGTAGTAATACTTTATTGCATCTTATTGAAAAAACACATCTTGTCCTCTTTATGAACATGTTTCCAAAGTGTTTTAACAATATAAATAAATCAGGCAAAATCCAAAGAAGTGAAACAAAACAAGACAAAAGCATGTATAAACTGATAAAATAAAACAAGCAGCAGTCATTCTGCACCATTGGCTTACAAACAGAACTCTTTTGTTTCCGTGGATTGTTCCTCAAATAGGGATAGGCCCTTTTCTTTTACTTTCTTACACTGTTGCCCATTATTGCTTTAAGCTGATGAATTGCATTACAGTGGGGTCTCTACTTAAGAACGTCCCTACTTAAGAACAATCCAACTTAAGAACAGCTCCATTTGCTAAATTTTGCTTCTACTTGATAACAGAAATCCAAGATAAGAACAGGAAAAAAAAACCTTTCCTGCTCTTTTTTTAACCTTAGGTCATCTTAGGTTAAAAAAAAAATTCTCCCCCTAGTGGTAGAGTATGTATTAACCAGCTTTGCATTAGTTCCTATGGGAACTAATCCTTCAATGTACGAACGCACCTCTACATAACAAAAAAACAGCCAGAACGGATTAATTGGTTTTCAGTCCATTCCTATGGGAAATTTTGCTTCAACTTAAGAATGTTTCAACTTAAGAACACCATTCCAAAACGGATTAAGTTCTTAAGTAGAGGTTCCACTGTATAAGCTTCCAGTCACTTTCTCCGCTGTAGTGTTTGTACTCACACTAGGTGTCTCATGTGATGTAGGTGGAGAAACTGGATCTCTTTCCTCTACAGTTGTTGCCGCCTACCCTTGTTTCCCCACATATGCCCTTTTCATGAAGATTGTGGAAATGAAAGCATACTACCTGGCACTGCTAAGTATAATGGGAATTTTAAATTGATATTTTGTTCTCTGTTACTTTATAACTGAATGTATATTGCCCCTAGGCGCCTTCAGTCTCTCTTTGTCCATTAGAGCCCTGATGGTGATAAATGTGTACATACTGTACAGAGTTTTCTGAGATAAGTAGGGAACTCGGGAATGGACCATTGCCCGCTAATGGAACTGCCCGCTTCCAGCAAAAGGGCATTTCTGATCTATCCTATTAAGTAATCTTCAAATTTCCTGCTCCTATTAAGTAATCTTCAAATTTCTGTGCACCCCTGCTGCAGAGCCTAGGACAGGGAATTTGAATCCTCACTGTGGCTCCTAGCAGAGATGCTCATCCAGAGTGTATGTCATGAGTTTTCATGCCCTGGCATCTATGTGGGCTTGAACTAGCTATAGAGTTCTAGAACACCACCAAAGGATGGAAACTTAAACCACTCTCTGATTTTCATCCCCACCTCCCATTAACTAGCAAGTACTACCCTTGTTGCTAACAAGAAATCATGCATGTTTTCAACATCTTTGCTAGCTACTTTTTAACATTTAAACAATACTGTTGCTATATTAAATTATAGGTCATTTCTTACTACTAGGCGTGCTTTACTGAAAACTTTTTAGTCATCTTTACTTAGCAATAAGTAGATATTGGCAGCTTTAATTGTTTCTTGTCTACAAGATTAGATCTGTGTGCATAGCCTTTGCTTATAAGGCAACTGTGGATTGCTGGTTTCCAAGTGGCAATTGGTGATTGGTGGGTTCCATCTGTGGAGAAGCTATAAAGGAGTCTGTGGCTGTATTATAAGTTATATTTCCTTGTAAGTGCTTGTACCTGTTTACATTATCTGATATACCTCACTCACTGTGGGATTTTGTTGCCTTCAATTCCCTCACCAAGATAAATAAACCCCAGGTTCTTTTATATATTATTTATTAGATTTTTTTCCTACTCATTAGAGCGTGCACTATTCTGTGCAGTTTGCAGAAAAACAATAATAATACTGTAAATGAGCAACAACAGTGCAACAACAAACTTCAAGGGGCATGAATTATAAAAGTGAAGTGTGGAATATGAGGAAAAACAATCAGCTATCAAACAGAAGAAATAAAAGTGGGGGGAAGCATCGAGAGGGTTGGCAAGAAGACCTCTCTATAGAGTATGTTTTTAAGTGCCTTTTAAATGTAGGGAGGGAGAGAGCCAGGTGCAGCTCTAGCTCAGGTTTCAACCCCCCCTCCTTTCTTTCACTAAGCTAGTGGTTTCTCTGCCTCTGATCATAGATAATGCTCTGGTGGAATAGAAAGAAATCCCATTTTGAGTTTCATTAGATGTTATTGGGTAGAGGGAAAGGACTAAAGATGAGGCTATGCTTTTTGGTGGCAATCCATTGTTGTTGTATAGGTCCAGCTATGCCTATACTATACCCCATAATGCTAGCAGGTTTTTACTGATCCATTGCTGCTCTAGCTTCTTTTTTACTTTTTACAACTCACATTTCTTTCTTTTTGGAACACTTAATTTGGCATTTTTATTGCTATTATCAGTGAAATATGTCAGTCTTTTTGTTTTATGTTTTTCCTGTTTGTAAATGTTCTAAGCTTATGTACTGTAGTACCATTTGTTTGATGATACTGTTAAGTCATTTAGGAATCATTCCAAGATTGGCAGACATCCAGATGCAGCAATTGAATTAAATCATGTTTATGACTTGAATACAAAAAAGGTTAATGAGAAGAAATCCATTAAGAGAAAGGGGAAATCCTTAACCAACAATGTGTCTTCTTCTATAGGGTGTGCCATTAGCAGATGGAGAAGATTACTGTAGATGTGCACATAGAAAGCAAGGAAAAAGATTCTTTAGAACTAGTCACCAGCAATGAAATTGATGTTAAGGCTCTGAATGACACTGAACTACGGGAGCAGCTGTCTGCATATGGAATCAGCCCTGGACCGATATTACGTATGCCTCCACTGAATTATGGCTAGAACTAGGGGGGAGGGGCGGGTACAAAAAACAATGGGGAACAGCGCTGAGTTTAAGAATGAAATTGCTTCTTACTAGTAGCAGACAATGATATTTAACCGGGGTGGAATACTTTGCAAAGCAATCCCAGTTTAAGACAATGAGATACTGTACCTCCTTTTCCTGAGCAAGAAATTGGACTCTTGCTATGGCATATACAGTAGTACCTTGGTTTGTGAATGACTCAGTTTACGTAATTTTCGGTTTACAAGCCAAAATCCGTAAGAAATAAAGCTCCAGTTGATGTTTTCTTTTTTTCGCACTACGAAAAGGTTTTCCCAGAGCGCATTGTGCACATAGCACCGCCCCTTTTGTAGTTCAATTGGTGGTTCGGCTTGTAAAATTTCTGTACTGTGTAACATCATGTAGAACAGATCTGTTTCGCAAACTGGGGTACTACTGTATTTTGGTCGTTCAAACTCATAAGTTACATACCCTGCAGGCTCACAGTATGTTACAAATTTCCCCAAATCCCCATTCTGTTTAGGTAATGTATACACATTTTGCAAAAGGTTTTTAGAAACAGCAGCAAGAGAAGATGAATTACTTATCCAGAACATCTGACCTTTTGCTCCTTTCAGCTATATAAATTTACTGTATTTGCTTTACAAGTTCTTTTGCATCTCCTAGTCTTTAGGCAGGGCAGGAGGTTACACATCTCATGGGAGCCTTTCCTTGCTACTAAATAACTTATTGGGAGTTCAGTTCCCCACTGTGTATCCCAGAAAAGCTGGCCTACCTGGCCTTGGGCAAGCTGTGCAGTCCCATGGTGCCTCCAGGAGAACGGAATGGAAACCACTTCTGAGTACTCTTTACCTAGAAAATCCTGAATAGCGCTGCCATAAGTCAGAATTTACGTGATGGCATACAATTACTACAAACTGTTTGGACTAAGTACTTGTCCAGAGTATTGTGCATAGTTTTGGGCAAAGGCTGTATAGTCATGTTGGGAATGTTCTGCAAGTACCCATGCTTCAAGAATGTTGTCTAGATGACATAGAAGTTCCCCTTCAGCTCTACAAGTTATACAGTATGCTGAGAATGGTTGTTAAAGCTGCTGTTCAATTTCAGAACACAGGGAACCACAATAAACAATAGTGAAGGCTAATACTTTCCTGTTGATTTGTTTTAGCTTCTACAAGGGCTACATATGAGAACAAACTTCAGCAGCTCATGAAGCAATGCCCAACAGTAGCAGCTGAGAAGGAAAGCAGGCTTGATGATTCTGAAAAGGAAAAGAATGGAGAGCTAGGTAATGCGTAACAATACCTAATGAAATCCCTCTTCGAGAGTTATGCATATAAATAAGATTGCAGATAACTTTAGATAATGACTGATCAATTATTATGAGCTGTTGGAACTAACAGTAATAATGATTTCATATTACAATCAGGAGAAATGCACAGTTCAGTACTTCAGCAATGGTGGATCGAGAATAATCATGATGAATAAAATCAGATTACAGAGTAGTCTCTTTGGATTTCAGAGCAGTTCCCTCTGGATTGCTGTAGACCAGGGGTCTCAAACTCAATTTACCTGGGGGCCGCTGGAGGCATAGTCTGGGTGAGGCTGGGCCGCATCAGATTTTCCGTCAAGGGAGCAAGAGCCCAAGGAAGCTGCCCAGGAGTTTCCTTAGCCTGGCCGGGGCTGCGAGGAGAAGCGTGTGAGCCCTCCTCGTCTGCCAGCCGGCAGACAGGTAGGCTGACTGGCAGGCTACAATTCCGGATGAAGAGTGCAAGAGGCGCTGTCTTGGGAGAGAGCCGGTGAGCGAGGTTTCACTGGTGGCCAGGAGTATATTTGCACAATTAAAACTAGTGTGCCAGCCATGTCCATCCCTTGAGGTCTGATATTGCCATGGTAACACATCCCTTAGTGACATCCTGGCTGGATTACTGTAACGTGCTGCACAAAGGGCTACTTGTGGAAAGTATTGGGAAATTTCAGTGGATCCAAAACAAGGCAGCCAGATTGCTGACTGAGGCTAGTTCCACTGACTGCCAGTCTGTTTCCAGGCACAAATCAAAGCACTGGTTCTAACCTATAAGGCTCTAAACTGCTTGGGTCGAACCTATCTCAAGGACTGTGTCTTCCATTATGAGCATGCTCAGGTGTTAAGACAATCAGAAGAGACATTTCTCGTGGTCCCACCATAGGTGTTTTTAGTGGGAACATGGAAGAGGGCCTTCTCTGTCGCTGTTCCCAGACTGGAACTTCCTCCCACAGGAGGCCAGTCTGACCCCATCTTTGCTGTCCTTCCGCAAGCAGGCAAAAACCTTTCTCTTCAGGCAAGCTTTCCCTCAGTACTGGCTGCCTGAGTGGGAGTTTTAAATGAATTGTTGTGCCTTACATTTTGAATGTGTTTTTTAGTATTGCTTTTGTTTACCATCTTTTAGAGTGGTAGTTGTTTGATTCTTTTAAATATTTGTATACATATTGTTTTTAGCATTAAATATTTTAATGATATAAGCCACTCTTGTATACTCATTGTTTTTCTTTTGTAATGATGTCAGGTGTCTTGTGTCCTTTTTAAGGAGAAAGATAGGGTAAAAATATTTCAAATAAATAATGTGATCTGATGTTACTTGGTTTTAAAAGTTTCTGAAGAAATAATCATTATAGTTTGTCTCAGTATGTTGACAAAATTAAAAGGAAAACAGAGAAGAAAAGATGATAAAGAGAAGCAAAAGATTGTGGCATTTAGAAGAATAACAGGCTTATTTCAGTGTGAGCTCTTGCAGATCTAAATCCACATCTTCAGACGCAAAGAGTACAAAAATGTGTCCTCTGTTTTATGTAGCATAAAGTAGCATCTTGATTAGCTGTAATTTGTTGCTGCAATTTATGTGAGTTCATTTACTCCAGAGTAAAATTCCTACAGGATTTTGACTTTTGTTTTCTTTTGATATTGTTTTGTTTCCAGTATCTTCTCTCCCTTTTTTCAGGTAAATTGTGGTGAATATTAACTGCCATTTTGGATTTGCATATAACAGCAACTGTGCTTATTTGAAAATGGAAGCAAAATCTTTTCAGCTGCTGATAAAAACATCTGAAAGCAGAGGGAGCAATAAGGCCGAACGCTAGTTTGTTTAGTGCTAAGCAATATTTTAATGTTTTGTTCAGATGTAACAACTCTTACTTGTCTGTCTTAGAATTCACAAGGAACATTGCCTGACAGCATTTCATGACTGCTTCTCTGTGTGAATTTTCAAAAACATGTAACTTTAAAAGCATCTTGAACATTCTGAGATTCTTTCACCCTGTGGGTGAGCAACTAAAATCAGTATGTAAATTGTTCTGAAATTTTGCCCATCTAACCACTTTTAAGATGGTTCAACCACTGCTCTGTTCAGTGGGGTGTAACAGTGCTTAATATTTTCTTAATACAGATTTCTGTGAAAGACCACATGAAATATTTACATAATTCCTTTATCTCATCCAAATGTACAAGTTGAGTTAGAGAAATGGAGCTGAGTGGCAAATGAGCAGATGTTATCACTGTTCTCTTATCTGTACTGGAATCTTTCAAGTGTTACCTAGCACTGCAAGGCAAATCTATTTTCTGCTTTCAAACTCTCTTTGAATTTACAGAGAAAAAAGGTCAGCTTTCCTATATATTTACCAGAACAGAGTAGGCAATTCCTTAATACAGAACATTTTGGAAAACTTGAAAAACCACTTGTATATATGTTAGATTAGCAATGCAAGTATAGCAAAGTTAGGGTGTGTCTGCACTGGCAGACTACTACACTATTTGGATCACTTTGGATTCTCTTTGGTCTACAGCATCCACATGTGTTACATAAATGTGTAATGACTTGAAAAGATTCATTAGAGATTTGCTCCATTGAATAAGTAGTCTAGTATTGCCAAAAGCCAGACTAGCTTCAGATGAAAGAGGAATGAAAATTGGTGGAAGAAACATGAATAATGTAAGATATGCAAATGATACCATCTTACTGGCAGAAAGCAGCAATGACTTCAAATGACTTTTAGTGAAAGTGAAAGAAGAAAGTGCCAATGCAGACTGCAATTGAATGTTAAGGAAAAAAAATGAATGCAGAAGAACTATATAACTTTAATGTTGACAATGAAGAAATTGAAATTGTTAGAGATGTTGTATGCCTTAGTTCAATTATCAATCCAAATGGAGACTGCAGCAAAAAAAAAATCAAAAGATTGCAGCCAAGATTCAGAAGACCATCAATGAAGGAATTGGAAAAGATCATCAAGTGTAAAGATGTGTCACTGAAGATCAAGATCATCCATATTACTGTATTTCCAATCACCATGTATCAGTGTGAAAGCTGATAGTAAAGAAAGCTGACAGGGAAAAATTACTCTTTTGAAATATGGTGCTGGAGGAGAGCTTTGCAGATACCCTGTATTGTCAGAAAGATGAACAAGTGGGTCCTAGATCAAATCAAGACTGAACTATCTCTGGAGGCAAAAATGTTGAAATTTAGGCAATCCTACTTTGGACATATAATGAGAAGAGGATTTTCTGGAAAATAGAATAATGCTGGGAAAGGTGGAAGACAGCAAGAAAATAAGAAGACCAAATACAAGATGGACTGATTCCTTAAAGGAAGCCCCAACCTTTAGTTTGCAAAAGCTGAGCAGGGCAGTTGAGGACATTCATAGAGTTGCCATAAGTTGGAGGCAACTTGAGAGCACATAACAACAATTGTCAAAGGAAAATAAGTGGTTATGAAAGTCTACCAAGAATGCAGTCCACAAGTGAAACACTTTCTTCAAGGACGTATATAACATCAGTTTTCAATTTCACTCCTTTAGAGCTTTTAGAGCACCTGGATTGAAAGCATTATCCTGTATGATGTGGTATAGATCACTTGAAACTTTTTATTCTGTCTTAGGGCAAACAACAGAAGTAGTCTTCCAGACAAACAACCTCAGAGTGACAGCAGGATGTGCCTCTGAGCTTGATAATGTAAGTAACCTAAGGCATGAATATTCTGTGCCAGCTAAATATGGGAAATTGTGAGCTAATAGAAACAGGTATTTTGCCTCAATAAGTGAAGCAATTACTCTGATCACCTACTTTTTCTGTGGTTTCTTTTAATGCATGAGAACCCTAGGAAATCTGATACAAAATAGTCTAGTCTGTTATTTAGAGATGCACTAACTTTATTTTACAGGTGGAAAATGCACATCTGCAGAAATTATAACTGAGAGAGGGGAATATTTTCATCTATTCCAGAAAAGCAATCAAATAACATTCAGATTACTGCAGTAAACGGTTGTAACATTGTTCTTTAGCACCACTAATCAAATTTGTTGCTTTGAAAGGCCAAGACAGAACTTGAACATTCAGGTCAACCTGCTGTCTTCCAAGCATGCCAGTGTTGCATCTAAGTTCTGATGAGACCCAACGCTTTGCATTAATCTAGGGCTTGCTAGATTTATATTATACTTAAGACCTGCTCATCAGACCTCTAACATTTCCCTAGAGGATTCCAAAGTTACCTCAGCTTTCTTTTTCAATGTCCAGAGGTTATTAACTTTGTTCCTCTACTTCTGAGATCAGCTTTAGCATTTGGGGTAAGGGAGTAACTGAAAAAACGTAGTTATCTCTAGAAACGTAGTCGAATTGTTTTACTTAGCCCCAAGAGCCCTTGCCTTATCTTCTGCTTACTAAGTACCACATGGGCAATGTTGATAAAGTGCAGGTAAAATAATATTTCCTTCAAATTATCACTCTTAATATGTTTCTGGGTAGCACACGTATGGATTCTTCACCCATTGGAATGAAAGTCTGCAAGCTCTTATCTACAGCCCATTCCAGAGGAGAAATCTCCCTGTACATTTTGTGAGACTGGTCATGCATTTTAATCCTAAATGCTCTTCGTCCACCATAGCAGCAGGTGCATGAGACATTTTTATTTCTTGGTTTCAGCAGTGTTTAACCCACCCCTTGAGGCATGTATCTGTGAAATGTATTTGTAAAGAAATGGAGCAACTTGTAATCAGGAAAGTTCTGAAAGATGCTCTGTGGAGGCAAAGAACTCATATGCATGACTGAATAGATGATCACCCCAACAACAAGATGTTAACTTGAGCTCTGTAATCTGAATATGAGATTAATATTTCTCATTGGAGAATGAGAATCTGTATCATTCTAGAGATGCATACTTTTTATGATATTTCCTGTCGTGCTTTAATGGTAATCCACACTGATTCCATTCTGTCTTAGAATCCACCTGTAGATGTGGCAGAACGTCAGAAAAAACTCTTGTCACCTGATGTTGAACACAGTTTAGCCAAAATAGTGGCAGAAGTAAGTAGTCACTGATATATTTTGACTAGTGTAACTACAGATTTATTTTAAAAGTTTGTTTCTATATCAGTTATATTTATATCTCGCTTTTCTTCCATTGAACTTGGCACCTCCTCTGCTTATTCTCACAACACCCGTGTGAGGTAGTGTAGGCTAAAGGGCAGGTAGGTTGGCCCAAATTCACATTGTGAGATTCATGTGCCAGTGGAGACTAGAACCTGGATGTCTCAAATTCCAGCCCAATAGTCTAGCTGCTGCTCCACACTCTTGTTCACTGTTAGGACCCCCATACCCATGGAGGATTAGTTCCAAGCTCCCCTCCTCCATGAATGCTGAAAGCTGTGGATGATAGCAAACACTGTATCTAGCATGGCAAAGGGGAAAAAATATTTGCACATGCATTACCAGAACATGCCACTAGAGCACAAAAGAGACAATGTTATGCATTCTTCAACAACAAGGATTCGTAGCACAGTCTCTGGTAATGCATGTGAAAATAATTTTTATGTGGTTTTTTTCTTTTAATACTTTTAATAGCTTCAGATAGTGGATCGGTGATACTATGGATACTGATACTACAGATATGGGGCCCTACTCTATTACAGGCCTCCCTGTTAACATGTTTTTCATATTTGCTAACTTGGAACAATATTACCTTATGTTATCTTACCTGCTTTCATTTAACTTTTGTATTTGCATCTACTGAAAAGATCCATCAGAATATTTTATTCTCCAAACCATGGTCCAAATCCTGTTGTTTAGCATAGTAAATCTCACTAGAGTAGTCCCATTGGGTCTAAGGGAATTTAATGAGTCAACTCCTCTGTAGGTTCCATTTATTCAAATGGGCATCCTCTAATTTATCGTACTAAAACGAGTCACATTTGAATCAACTAAACTTACTATGAACGAGGTGACTCAATAAATCCCTTTTGATTCATTGGACCTACTGTTGGTGCAGTTTATTATGCTAATCAATAGGTTTCTGCCAATAATTCCACTAAAATTTGTTTTACTGTTCTTTGTTTAAGTTGGCTGTTGCTTTCCAAATTTTCAACAAGTTTCATTTAAAACAAATCCCAAGATTAATGCTGCTGCTTAAGGCTCCATCAGCATGATTTGCCACACTTTCTTTCCCTGGGTTAGTCAGATAAACTTTTTACATGTTCCTTGTAAAATAATTATTATCTTTTTGAACATTGTGAGCTCCATTTTCTTAAAAATGAGACTGAATGTGAACAACTGCAGCCACATATATCCAGACATATGTGCACACACACATTTTATTCTGAATGCAAAACAGGGATGGCTGATAATTGTTGTGGGACATCTCCAAAGGAAGGAAGGAGTATGAAGATGTGCTGATGCTGTGTTTTTCATGCACAGTCTGTTTTAAGAAGATAAATAGAGCAGGGTCCAGTAGAGAGCAGGAGGTGGAATAATGGCCCAGTAAGGAGAGATTGCAGAATACTTGAAAGAAATTGAGAAGAGAGATAGAAAAAAATATTTTTGGATTAACTCCTCTGCCGCACATGTACACAAATAAGTGGAATCTAATTGGGGACTGTTAATGAAAGGTGATGGGTGAGATGTAAATGGTGCAAAATCCTTGTTCTATTGTCAGTGAAAGGGTATTTGAAAATGAGTTAGTGTGCACATATAATTAAATAGCTAATTAATGACAGAACTCATGTTGTGAGGCAGCTGTTTTACTAGACCTGGCACACTCTTTTTAAACTAGCAGTGCAGAAGTGTGAAATGTCTGTTACTAACAAAATTGTTGTAAACAGATATTTTTAGCAGGCTGTAAATTGCAAATGAATGCAATTGCGTACCTGATATTCTTCTTTGATCTGAGTACTGTATATAGGTAATTTTTTTGTCATGCTTACAGATCATCCCATCCCATTTTGCATGATCTTTTAATTAATTTAATCTTGTCTATTAATAGTTACAGGAAATATTGCCAGAGGGTAAAGTGCTGAATCAGTCAAAAGGACAAAGGAGGGTAGCTGGCAGTAGTCCTGATAGGAGTTACAGACAACAGGTACTTTTGCAACAGTATTCGGTATTTAGATTTTAAATCTTGTCAAAGATGCCATTCAGGAAAGTGACATTCTACAACACGATGTAAAATATCACTTGAGAATAATGAATATTTTCATTTATCACTTTATTTCTCTTTCTTCTGCCCAGTGGCTGAAAATTGCTGTACCTTTCTGACCTCCGCAGTTGTTATAAATTTGGTATTTGTTGTACAAGTTGTGAATCACTATTAAATCACTTTTCTTCCTGTTCATGGATGAGCTAGAATTTGGTTTTAAAAAACTGAATCTTATTCTTTTTTAACGTACATGGATGTGCCCAAGAGAGCATTTTAAGCCACGAGGGCAGGTTCAGATGAGTCCCTTTTCTCAACAAAGATAGGGTAGATAAAAGTATTTTGTCATGACAATAATAGTCCAGAGTCCTTAATATTTTTTGAAAAGCAGTCCTAACAACAAACAGCTATCCTTTACAGTTCTCTTGGGTTGCTGTGAATGATTCACAGTGGTCTCCACTGACCTGCGGCTTCCTCTTGGCAGAGGCATGGGAGTTATAAGAAAGGCATTACTGATACAAAACATTTATGTTGTAAGGCATCTGATGCTCATGTTTTAAAAAATATTATCTGTAGAAAGTTTGTAAACATGTATGCCTTCTACGAAGAGAGTGTGTGTATGTGTGTGTTTGTATGTATGTGTATAAGCACACACACATTTAATTAATTAATTAATTAATTAATTAATTAATTAATTAATTAATTAATTAGATTTATACCCTGCATCATCTGGCAGCTAGGCCACTCCGGGTGGCTAAGAACAACACAACAAACAACACAATAAACACAATAAGAATAAAATAATACAAACATCCAACAGATACAATAACTAGTAGGATAAATTAAAACAAATGGCTATAAAGATGATAGAAAGTATGATGAAAGGATGGTAATAAGAATGATACATATACACACATGCCTTCTACAGAGGGCACATCAATAAATAATGGGAGTCTATTGGTGTTTGATAGAGATGGGCATGAACCGTGGCTTGACTGAGCTCAGCGCAGCATCTGCACAGATGTTTGCAGGCGCCAGTTGCTTTCCTCCCCCGCCTCCCCATAGCGATTGCTCATTCACTAGGAGGAGCATGTTTCCCTCCTCCTCCACTCATCAGCTGGAGTGTGGGCTTCCCTCCTCAGATGATTCCTCATTCAGATGAGAAGGCAGGGGAGCCTGTGCTCCTGCCAGTGAGTGGAGGATTGTCCACAGGTTGTGCCCATCTCTAATGCTTGGATAGTTGTAGCTAATTGATGAGATGGTGGAGCACCTCTTGATTGCATTGGTGGCCAGTGGCCAACCACATGACTGAGATCCATCTCACAATTAGGGGCATTTAGCTATGTCAAGTTATGCAAACCTTACTTTATGCAAACACCAATAGGATTATATTGGTTTTTAATAATGTTAAAACTTGCTAATGCTTATTTGTGGTATTTTGCCTCCCAGAATGGGAAAAGTAATGAAATTGACATTGATGTGTTACAATTAGTATATTGGCTAGAATCTAATTGCTCAGATTTTGCAACATGCAACTGAGGTGCCATCATCAGCCATGGCCATTACGGGGACAGGGTTAAAAGTTTCCTGTCCCTACCCCACCCTGTTTCAGGGATCTCTAGGGCCCTTTTCCTCCTGGGAAAGCGTTTAGGAAGCACAAAAGAGCGGAGGGAACACTTTAATGCCAGAAAATAGCTGCTGATGGTCTTGAAATGGCTTCGCCTGATGATTGTGTTGTGTTGCATACAGTTACAGAAAGGATTTTGGCCATTTATTAGCTCTGCCTAACCTCATTTCTAACCCTTTATATGCTGGAGTTCCAGTAGGATTAGAAAGTATCCCAGGATTTAGTTGGTGAACGTTTTATAACTTTGGTAGTTGAGTCTCAATTATTAAAAAAAAAGTACATTAAGAAAGTTATTTTTAGGAAAGAATATCTTTAAAGGGAGTTGCAGAAAATGCCCAGTAATGGGCATAGCTGTTTTGTAATCTACAAAAGCTATTCCTGAATCTATCTGTTTATCAAAGAATAGTTGATACTATAAGAACATGTTTCAGCGAACTATTTTGATCAAGAAGGTCATATATGTGGCTTACACAGTACCCTTTCCTATAAAAGTGTCCAGAACGAAGCAGTTTATGAAACATAATATGTATAAGTAGTATAATGAACTTAGGAGTGCAAACACTAATGTGGCTGGAAGCTGCCTCCAATTTAATACCTCAGAAGACTGGATCTTCATATGAAAGGACTTCTACAGATTGCATGTTCCCAAATTAGACAAGAGATGTTTTCTTCAAACATTGCAAGATCAGCTAACATGTTTAAAGGTGCTACATGGGATGTCTTAATTAACAAAATGATGATGATGTGCTGTCAAATCAATTCTGACTTACAGTGACCCTTTTCAGAGTTTTCAAGGTGAATAGTATCAGAAGTGGTTTAAGGGCCCTAATTTTCTTATATTTTGAGGGTCTAATGTAGAAAACATTAGTAAAAGAACAGAGATGTGACATCCTTGGCTGCCTTAAGTGAATTAGTTTGACTGATAAAACTACACACTATATAGCAGGATACCCTTATACTGTATTATCTAAATAACATATTTGTATTTTTATGTGACAATCCTCATCAGTGGAAAATTTTGTTTTATTTTGCATGAAAAAGCCCAGGCCATATAGGTGCTTACGAAAACTCACCTATTTATAAGCCATTTTCCTTTTGCAGATGAATAATCCACCACACACAGACTACGGTTACCCTGACGCTAACAGTGTAGGATTAAGGTAAATTTCTCTAAGATCACATAAAATATTTAACAGACATGCTTTACAGATGAATAGGCCTTTCTTTCTCTGGGCAAAATGCTGGAGACTTCCATTGCAGCTCTTCATAGATGGTGAACTAATACCTTTGAATATTCTGAATGTGTAAATATTGGCAGAGAGAAGATAAGCTGTACAACGTACTGGCAGCACTGGGAGACAGACTGGAAAAAATTAAATATGTTGCGCCTTGGGAGAATATACTACATATATTTATTTGAAAGAAAATTAGAAAAATAAAAATCTCTAAAAAGTTGATACTATGGGAGGTGCTTGCACAATAGCGTCCACGTATGTACATGTGGATTAATGTGTTTATAAAAGATAAATTTAAGAAAAAATGGTGTGATAGTTTAAAAATTATTTAATAAGGTAACTGCATGGGCATTTGTCCCACTATCTGCTCTGCTGTGGGAACAGGATGAATTGCTCTTTTTGCCAGCAACCAGACCAGGCAAGTACCAAACTAGTCCAGCCCCAGAGCATGCCTACTTCCATCTTTTTCTCCTTGACAGGGCTACTCTTTTTGCATGCAGGTAGGATTGCTCTCTTTTGCTTCCATTTCAGTGTGTGTGATCACTGGAATTGAACCAAAGTGCCTGTCCCTTTGCAGAAGCCACAAGGAAGTGGCAAGGAAGAAGTTCCTTTTTAACTCTTGCTAATGCATCAGTAATGCTTTGAAAGGGCTTTTTTTAAAAAATCCTCTCAATTCATTGCTGATATACTATGTCAGCTTGCAACAATTAAAAAGAAATGCAAAACTTGCCCTTCCTTCCCCTCTAAAGGCAAGGAATATTTAAAAGGAAAATTTCCCATTTCTCAAGATCTTTAACAGGCTCCTCCTGTTTTGCCTAAGCTGCTTAACAATCTTGAGAAATGGGGAGCTTTTGTTTAAAGAAGCCTCGATGGCATACCACTCTTCAAAGTGATCTAGACTGGAACCATGCTAGAATAATTTGTCCATCTAGTCCCACCTTAAGTGGGGCAGAAGTTAAGGAAGAATTGCTTATTGAGGAAAAGTGGGCTAAAACTCCAGGAAGTTGCCTCTCAGAATTCATGTGCATCACTAGAAGGAAAGGGAAGGAATCTTAATCATGCTAGTTGTTCAATAATTTTTCTTTGTAACAAAGCTATTTTAGATAGAACACCGACTTTGAAAACTTTCCAGAAAAAGTAAAGAGCTTTCAACAAGATGTAGCCCCTCCCCACTTTTCCACAATATAAAAATCCCTGCTACTTTTCCATACTTATTCATACATGCCTAGGTTAAAATTCCATATGTATACTACAAACATTATATTCTTCTGGTACAATATTACTGTAAACTTATCTATAACTGCTGCACCCCTGTACTTCAAATGGCATTTATTTCATTTCAGAAAAATGTCCTAATTAGCAGCAGCTTTCATTTTATCTTGTTTCCTTTTTTATTCTCCACAAATAGAAGCATTGGTTGAATATGAGATTATATGTCTAAAATTTAAAAAATGATTAGATTTCTATCTGGATTGTAAAATGTCTCCATTATGTTACCTCTTATTCTTCTAGTACTAGAAGAAGAACAGTGAAAGAGAATGTACATTCAGTGAAGCAAAGTCCTAAAATTAAATCCCTGATGGTACCTGAGAAACCAGCAGAAGGACTTATACCAACACGTGTAAAGATCGCTATGTTTGCACTCTTCATTTTCCTTGTCTTTGTGTATGTAACTATGGAAACTAATCTAGACAATCCATTCAGAAGCTTCATCATGGGAAAATGAGACTATTCCATTCTTCAGAGGTGACATTAACAGACTAGAGTTGGTGATTTCTGTTCAGCTGCTTATGAGTAAGTGATTGGGGTAGCTTATTAAAAAGCAAAAGAAGCTATCTAATGTGTGTGTTTTCTTTCCTTGCCATTAAAAATGCACCATAGTCTCCGTAGCACTAAATATCTGGCACCATCTGCCTTCTTTACAAGTTATCTCTTTGGAGTTGAGCTGAGAAGTACATACTTTTAACTAGTTTAACAAAAATGTCTCTTCTGACATTTTCTGTCTTTCTTAAGAAGAGGGAAGATTCCTGTTAGCAATCAATCCTCCCACACTCCCTGTCTGTATTATATGAGAAAGTCCCTTTGGACAGAACACAGACTGCCTATACTTGATGACCCAAATAATCAGAAGTGTGAACACACGAAGAAAATTAGGAGAAACTATGTGGCAGCAGTTCTGTTCTAGTGTGCACACACCCAGAAAGTAAGATGCAGAGGTTGAAATCCTGTTGCACAGTTCTTCATATACAGCAGAGATTATGTCACCATCAGTGTCAAATTGCTACTCATTAAAGGCAAAAGGCTGCTAACTAAATCAGATTTCAGATGTGCACAACTCTTGCACAAAGCTGCATGCATCCCAAAATTGCTAGTGGAAACCTTTAATCAGCTGTGACTTACTGCTGCTACTGCCATCTTCACCACTGTGTGTGGGGATCTGCACAAATATGCTTTCAGCCAGAGTAACTCTGTGCGAAACAAGCAGATGTTAACCCTAATGCATACCTTCACAGCCAGACAGTTTTACCTCATTCAGGAGCCCTTGTTTTACATAGTCATGAAGCTGTACACTACTCCCAGCAGGAGTCAGGCTACACAATGAATAGGTTGCTCAACAGTTGTATATGAAAAAACTGAACTGCTGATGCTTGAGGTGTGATAGCTCACTCTATTGAGGTGTGCAGGCACCACCATAGCTTATTCAAAACAGTTTTAATTTACTTTCTCCTGTTTGACATTCTTACACTGGTGGTGCCCCACATAGCGATGATAATCCATTCCGAAAAAATCATCGCTATACGGATTTGTTGCTATGCGGGGCAAAAAAGCCCATAGGAACACATGAAAACACGTTTTATGCGTTCCTATGTGGGAAAAACTTACCTTTAAGCAAAAATCCTCCATCCGGCCGCTATTTTCGTTGCCTGATAAGCGAGGAAAGGGCGCAAAAACACTGCGGGTGGCCATTTTATTTGCCTGGCGTCCATTTTGGAACTGCCAATCAGCTGTGCGAAAACAGGGCGTTTGCGATGATCGCTTCTGTGTAATCATCGCAAATGCCCCATTTTCGCCCAGCTGATTGGTGGGGCTTCGGGGTGGTGGGGGGGGAGCACTTCCCCGTGATCATCCCGAAGCCCTGCCAATCAGCTGGGCGAAAATGGGGCGTATGGGGAAAAATCGCAGAGCGATTTTCCCCATAGAGAACATCGCAATGCGATCGCAAAAGCGATTGCAAAATCTTCATCGCTATGTGGATTCGTCATTAAACGGGGCACCCGTTAAGCGAGGCACCACTGTAGTTTAGTTACAGTAGACTGTTTAAAAAGAAAAACCCTATTAACACCCATAGGTTAATATGTGTGGCCCAACATTTTAAAGATACATGATAGCTATGAAAAGGAAGTTCATGTTTCTTCCAATATCAGACAAAAGAAAGTGTTAATATTAATACCAGTGGAGTTAATATCAGTGCTTTCTTGTGTGTAATGTTGAAAGATAATGGCACATCTTCCTCATAGCTATCAGCTATCGTTAAAATGTGGGACCAAAGGTTTTCACACTTCATGGACTGTTGATCTTTGAAACATAAAAGTAAAGGCAATACAAAGTTCAACTCAGCTTATTCTTCATTTAATTGGATTCAAGACAAAGATACTGCATTTCAGAGTTCAAGCTGTTATAACTGTGTTTTTGAAAAGCATGGAGTACTCAAATGGCGAAAGCTCAAAGTTGCTCTATGACATATTTTGTATTTTAAATTGCTGATGACTGTCAAGCTCTCTGCAGTTCCTACAATCTACAATAAAGTGCTTTATTACATTTCATTCCTCCCCTCTTCAATTGCGTGCCTTGTAATTTTATCCTATAACAACAAAGGGGCACAAGCAGCATTCTGGCTGTCGTTCATCCTGTTTAACAAATGTTTTCTGTGATTACCTCTTGATGTGTGATTTAGGAAGAAGAATGACAGATGGTTTGATATATCCTTAGCATGCCTATAAGAATCATACTGCACAATTACCCTGTATGTTCAGAAGGCTCAGAGTAAGGAAACGTGACTTGTCATTGTTATGTGCCATGAAGCCACTTCCAACTTCTGTTGAACCTATGATTTGAAGAGTTCCAAAGGGCCTGTCATCAGTAGTCCTCGTCATTTGCTGCAGACTGTCTGTCTTTCTTTGATTGATTGATTGATTTATATACCACCCATCTGGCAGCCAAGGCCACTCTGGGCGGTTTACAACAAGTAACATAAAACAACTAAGTAACAATATAGCAAATAATGTAAATACATGGGGCGAAAATCAAAAGTTATAAAGTCCGTTGAGGATAAAATTACAATACAATAAATATAATTAAAAGTGTAGAAAAAGATAACGTTTGTTTATTGCATCTGTATACCACTGCCCTTCATGCCGAAGCACAAGTCAATCCATCTCATGTTAAGTGTTCTTGTTTCCGCAGCATTGTATTTTTCAGGGAGTATTGTCCCCTTATGACACAAAGTACAACACCCTTAGTTTGGTCATTTTAGCTTCTAGTGAGAGATCACATTTGTTTTGATCAAGAACTGTAATCCAAACTCCTCCAAACCACATTTTAATCTTTAAATCATTCTTTTTTAAAGACTCTGTCGTCCTTGCCACTCGTGTTCAGGAGGCTGCATATTGGCAACTGTTCTTCATTTGGGACTTAGCCTTGTATCTGCTACTTTCTAAGGCATACAGATTGTTGCCCTCTAAATGAACATGTAACAGCTACCGCATATACTTGAGTATAAGCTGACCCAAATACAAGCTGAGGCACCCAATTTTACCACAAAAACCTGGGGAAACTTACTGACTCAAGTATAAGCCGAGGGTGGAAAATGCAGCAGTTACTGATAAATTTCAAACATCAAAATAGATACCAATAAAATTACATTAATTGAAGCATCAGTAGGTTAAATGTTTTTGAAGATACTCTCTTTCTTTACTTTTATCAGACTTGTACCCCGCCGTCCTAGACAAGGTCCACTAGGGGCGGCTTACATAAATAATAAAACACAACAATATAACAAAGATAATAAAACCCTTCAAAATGCAGAACTTAACACTTATTTCTAAAATACATTGCCAAGATGGAATAGTTAAAGAAACAGAAAAATCAGTTAATTGACTGCAGTGAAGTGTTGCGAGACACACTTCACTGCCTGTGGAGAGAGGACTCATACAGGATGCTGCACTTATCTACTGCTCTACTGCTGCTTAACAAGATGGAGGGAGACGGAGGATGGAGAAGGAAGGTGGGTACATAGAATAGGCAGAGGGAAGAGGATGGGAGTGTCCTGGAAGCAGAAATGCAGTGTACTTAACCCAGGTCATTGGACCACCCACAGAGGCTGCAGGCTCCCATAGATGAGCGGTGGAGGCCGGAGAACACCTGCATTTCAGGGGAAAATTTTATTTTGTGCAACGACTACAAAAAACCCGGGGGGGGGGGGGGTCAGCAAAAAAAATTGTGCTGAAAAACTAGGCTTATACTCGAGTATATACAGTAATTCTGTCTTCCTTGATAGAACTCTGTATTGTAAAACTGGTCAACAATTTTGCCAAAGCAGACTTGCAGATTTTTTAAAAACATCTTCAGAAATCTGGTTTCCCCAGTCTAAATGTGATTTGTCTCTGAGAAGGATGACAGTACATCTGCTAGAGAGTTTAAATCTTCATTTACTTTCGATGACTTGGAAGCTGATATTTTGCTGGTTCAGGTAAGGACATTTAATTTCCATTTGCCATTTTTAGCTCATTTGAAACAAATCTTTAGCAATCAGCTTGACAGTTGGGCTATAAAGAAACAATAATGATCACCCCCAGTTTCATCAAGGCAAATTATCAAAATGGAGCAAATTTCATACTGTACGCTGTTGGTGAAACATGAGACATTGTATGCAATGATTTCATTAAGAGGAAAATAACTATGGGAAATATTTGTTTTGTAACTATCAATAAAGCCATCATGATGGGAAGCACAGAGGTATCTACAAAGCAACTGCTGTGCTTCTCTAGACATTTTCAATTGTTACAGTTGGGTTCACCAACAGACTTAAAAGAGATCAGTTAGCCTATGTGCTCTATCATTTTTTTTCACATAATAAACAAGTCTGAAGAGGAAATATTCTTACTCAAATATGAACCCTGCATTTGAAAAATCTAGTTTCTTGCTTGCTGCTTCAAGTATGTTGAGAAGCACAGATTCTATAGCCACTGAACAGAGCTTTTCAATGTCAGCACTTCACTTTGGCTATAGAGGGAGAAAATAAAGTTAGCCTGTAGGCATCTGATTTTTTTATTTTTGGATGACTAATCCCATAATTTTCCATTCTGAGAAGTCCACATCACATACAGATACCTACAGATACATAATGTGGCTCACCTGGGAGAAAGGCCTAAGCTGGAAGGCTTTGTGACCTAGGTCCCTTTATTTCGTGTTCATAGAGAAAGCTCCCAGCTAGCAGTGGTGCAGTTTAGTTTCTGATCAGGAAGCGAGACACTGGCACGCCACAAAGCCTTCCAACTTAGGCCTTTCTCTCATGGGAACTACATTTAAATATCTTTTATGTCAGGGGGAACTCCCAGAATGGAAAATGACCAGGATTTGTAGGCCAAAAACCTGAAGCCCCCAAGCCTGGCAGCCAGGAACATCTCTGTTGTGTCTGTCCATCCAACATTTATGGGGTGGACTTAATCTTCTCCTCCACATCTCTAATTCCTTTAGTGTCACGCCTGACATTTTAGATCGTAAGCTTGAGGGCAGGGGGTTGTTCCATTACCTATGTTGTAAGCAGCTCCGGGAG